TTCATACCCAGAACTAACTGCTTGTCTAACTCATTCCCCACACAGAACTAACTGAACTCCTCAACTGTCAAACCTGTAACTGTAACCTCTGACTGACATACAGACATATCCACTCATTCTCACTTCCAAAACCCCTCCCCCTCTCTGTCAACCACCAATCATACCACGCTTGCTTCTCTCAACCACTCTAGTCTACTTACCACCGCCATGCAACCAAACTTTAAAAGAGACACACACACACACACATAAAACAAGGAATCATTACAGGCACCTTTAAGACCAAGTTTTATTCAGCTACAAGCTCTCCCCCCTCTGCGCGGGCAGATCTGCACGTCCGCCCCCCCCAATAGCTAGCAATCCAAAAGAGTCCAGTGGAGCCTGAGCGGTGGCTGTAGCCTTCTGACACACTTCCGGTGATGTCATGGGGTGTGGCATATGAAAATAAGTTATGCTAATGAGCTCCTGCACCTCTTTTTCTACAAAATGGTCATGTCCCTGTTATTTCTGAACCAAGCTGTTGTTGTTTTTGCAACAACAGAATAACATGACTCACTTCCTGGGATTCATTGCTACAGTTCAGGGGTTCCCAACGTGGTGTCCACGGGCATTATGATCCCAGCCGGCACCTTTCCTGGGAAGTCACTACGTGTTTTCAGAAGGTGAGTAGACCAAGACGGGGCTTTCGCCCAGATCTTCTGACTGGCCACTGGAAATGCGATTGGCTCTGCGGATTTTTAAAGACGTTGCTTTGGCAGCAGCTCCACCACAGCACAAGGATGTTCACTCTGTGACTGAAGATAAGCTGCGGCAGCCATTTCGTAGCCGGCTCCACCTCCTGTAGCAGCCATTTTGTGGCTGCCCCTACCACACTGTTTCAGAATTCCAAAGGTGCCCTTGGGCTCAAAACGTTTGGGGACTAGGGTTGCCAGGTCTTAGCCAGCTGCCTGGGGTCTTCCGGTCACCATAGAGTTTTAAGCCAAATGCTAGAGCATCCCCCAAGCAATGTGCCTGGCACGGTGACGTCACTGCTAGGTAACATCATTGCACTGGGCATGTCGGGGGGCGGTGGGGCTCTTCGGGGGCAGGGCTCCCCCGCTGGCCAGCTGGCCGTCGGTGGATTGGGTCCCCAGAAAGCAGGGAAACCCCACCCCTGTCAGGGGGATGGCAACCCTATTGGGGACCCCTGGTGTAGTTCATCCCCGTGGATTGTTTCTTCAGGTTAAAGCAAAGGTAGTCATCTGGTTGAAGCGTTTCTTGCACTCTGTGTCCTCTCCTGTGTGGATTCTTTGATGTTTATTAAAGCTAGATTTAGCAAAGTAGCTTCTGTTACAGTAGGAGCATTTGTATGGCCTCTCCTCTGTGTGGATTCTTTGATGTGTATGAAGGCTTGCGCTCTGATCAAAGCTTTTCCCACACTCCAGACACTGGTACGGCTTTTCACTTGTGTGGATTCTTTGATGTTTATTCAAGCTTGACTTGGCAAAAAAGCATTTCCTGCAGTACGAGCATTTAAACGGCCTCTCTCCTGTGTGGATTCTTTGATGGGTACTAAGACTGGTGCTCTGATTAAAACTCTTTCCACACTCGAGGCACTGATATGGTTTTTCCCCAGTGTGGATTCTGTGGTGCCTCTTAAGATCAGACATGTTACTGAAGCTCTTTCCGCATTCCTGGCAATCAAACTGTTTCTTCCCTATGTGGATTCTTTGGTGTGTATTAAGGTTTGTGCGCTGATTGAAGCACTTTCCACACTCCAGGCATTTATATGGCTTCTCCTCTGCATGGATTCTTTGGTGTCTTTTCAGATGAGTTCTTCGAATGAAGCCCTTTCCACATTCTGGGCATTCAAACAGCCTCTCCCCTGTGTGTATTCTTTGATGCGTGCTAAGGTTTGTGCTCCGACTGAAGCCCTTTCCACACTCCAGGCATTTATACGGCTTCTCCTCTGTGTGGATGCTTTGATGCCTTTTCAGATGAGAGCCCCGACCAAAGCTCTTTCCACATTCCAGGCATTTAAACCGTTTCTCCCTTGTGTGGACTCTTTCATGCCTAATCAGATCTGTTCCCAGATACAAGCTATTTCCATACTCTGAGCACATAAATGCTTTCTCCCCCAAGAGCATTTTCCAGTTGTCCTTATGGCTCGATTCCCAAGCAAAGCTGTTTCCACACTCTGTTTTTTCCCCTTCGCAAGAGATGATGTGGAAATCAGCCTCCTGAGAAGCAAAGTACTTATTCCACATTCTGTGTAACTCTTCCTCATTCTTACTCTCCCATCCTGCAGGAATAAAGAGAGAAAAGAGATAAAAACCCAAGGTAGAAAAGGAGCCACAAATCAAGGAACAAACCCTATTATCTGATCTGGCAATTTTAAAAAATATCCTGTATATTTTCAATGCTCCCTCTAAGCTGTGGAGTCTTGTGAGCAACATTTCTACTTTGTGAGCTACTGGCATTAAAGTTGTGAGCGAGCGATGTGGCTACTGCTTAAATTAGTTTGCTCTGGAGCCATCCTTCCTGAGCTAAGACAAAAATGTGGGAGCCGGAGGCTACAAAACTGTGAGCTAGCTCACACTAACTCAGCTTAGAGGGAACACAGGCTGCAGTTGGCATTAATCAGCAGCCAATGAAGTCCTGAGTTCAGATCCTGAAAGTCTGGGTTCAGATCTGCTACCTGCCATGTACTTCACAGGGTAAGTCAGCTCCTCTTGGCTCAGCCTCCCTTGCAGGGTTGTTGGGTATAAATGTCTCGTTTATTTATGATACATACCACTTTTAAACAACCGAGCAGTATGCCAGACAACTGAGTGGGGTTTCTCCAAAGAGCCTAGTATGATGTACGTGATTCTCCTCTCCCCCACTCGATTATATCCTCACAGCGGAGGCCGGTTAAGGGAGCGTCATGTTTTCATGTATGACTAGTTGGGCAACTGCTCTGATCTGGCATGGCCGTTCTTACGTTCTTAAAGTTTATTTATTTATTTCAATTTATATCCTGCCCTTCCCGCGAACTGGTTCAGGGCAGCTTACAGCAATAAATTATACAATTATAAAATAACACAATCAGATACAATACAATAATACGTTAAAACCAATTTAAAATGGGCAGCGCAGTACATTCAATTCCAGTTTCTACAGCTGGGAGATAAATGGACCAATGCCGAGCCAAAATGATCTTATGCACTCACAGCAACTTTTTCAAAAACGACCGCAGGAAGTAGTGGCAGCTACAAGCATAGTCAACTTCAAGGGGGAATTGGATAAACATCTGGAGGAGAGGTTCATCAGTGGTTATTAGCAACAAGGTCTAGATGGAACATTGTATCTGGGGCGGGGATGCTCTGTATTATGGGTGCTTGGGGGCAACAGTGGGAGGGCTTCTGGAGTTCTGGCCCCGCTGGTGGACCTCCTGATGGCACCTGGGTTTTGGACACCAATTGACACAGAGTGTTGGACTGGATGAGCCATTGGCCTGATCCAACTTGGCTTCTCACAACGTTCTTATGTTTTTAAAAACCTTCATTTCCTAAAGGCTGAAAAGTAAATGGCAAATTCTGGACACAGAGGATGCCTTACCCAAAGAGGCCAGGTTCTTGTAATTCTCTTCCATAACTAGTCTGTGCAAGGCTTTTTGGCCCGGGTCCAAAAGCACCCATTCCCCTTCCGTGAAACGCACGGACACCTCCTCGAAGGTCACCAGCCCCTGAAAGAAAATAAAACATTTTCTCCTCACAGGTAACATAATGGCTCTGCCGCTCCTGAAGGGAACTGAAAAGGGGTGTTGAAGCGAGGCAGCTGGGGGCTTTGCTCACACGGCCCACCTTCATGAGTGCCATTCCATTCCTTCTTCTCATGGGTAACTTTGCTGGGAACACGATGAGAGCCAGTGTGGTGGCACAGTAGCTAGAGTGTGAGACTTAGCCTGGAGAGACCCAGGTTCAAATCTCTGCTCAGGACCTGAATCTCACTCAGTGACCTCGGTCTGGTTGCCCTCTCTTAGCCTGGCCTAACTCACAGGGCTGCTAGAACGATTAAAGGGAAGAGGGAGAACCCCGGATGCTGGCCCCTCGGCTCCTTGGAGGGAGGATGAGGCAATGCATTTTAATATAATATTTTCAGGACGGGAAAGGGAAGGTTGGCCAGAAGTCCTCTCTGCTTAGCTGGAGTAGAACCTTCCCCTCTATGATAGTAAAGTAAAGGTAAAGGTTCCCTTGCTCGAAAGCCAGTCGAGTCCGACTCTAGGGTTGCGGTGCTCATCTCCGTTTCAAAGCCAAAGATCCAGCGCTGTTCGAAGACGTTTCCGTTGTCATGTGGCCGGCATGACTAAACACCAAGGCGCACGGAACGCTGTTATCTTCCCACCGAAGTGGTACCTATTTATCTACTTGCAATTTCTTGATTTCGAACTGCTAGGTTGGCAGGAGCTGGAACCAAAGACGGGAGCTCACTCCATCATGCGGCACACTCGGGTCTCAAACTGCTGAACTGCTGACCTTCCACAGCCTGCAGTTCAGCGTCTTAACCACTTGAGCCACCGCAGCTCCTACTCTATGATAGTAAGAGTTATCTTAAAATTACCAGATTTCTGCTTCAGGCTATATTTAAGCCTCCCAGCCGCTCCTGTCTCTTGCGAGCCACCATGTCATAGTGCTTAAGAGTGTCCGACTAGGATTTGGGACAGCCAAGTTCAACTCCCCATGCTGCCACGGAAGCTTGCAGGACGACTGTGGGTCAGTCACACCCTCCCAGTCCAACTTACCTCACAGTGTTGCTGTGAGGATAAAATGGAGGAAAGGACAATGACATAAGTCGTTTTTGGGTCCCCCTTGTGGAGAGTATGAATGAACGAAACACATACTTCCACACCATGGGAAGCTTCAGCTGCCCATTTCCACACACTGAGCCTTTATTAAAGGGACAGGACTTTTTTTCTTCAGGTTCTTGGCAACCTGAGCCATCCCTCTCTCCTGTTCCCGGAGATTTTCTTTGAAGAGCAGGTCTCCTCATAGTTTTCCCCAGAGTTCTTCCTTTAACTCCTCTCCCATCCTACCGGAGAGGAAATTACTAGACAGCAGGTCCCAGAAGGATCCCTGAGGCCAGAGGTCATTTCGGGGGGGATCGCGGGGGATCGCAGTTCCCCCGGGTGAGGTACGGGGGCGGGGCACATGACGAACCCCCGCCCCCTGCTTCCGGCCGCCCCGCTTCCGGCCCTCATTCAGCCAGGAGGAGGCAGGAGAAGAGGGAGGGTAAGTTGCTTCCTCCCTGCCTCTCCCCACCCCTGCCTGCCTGGGGCCAGGGGGGGCCTTTGCGGGGCTTCCTTGCACTCCCGCCAGCCGGGACCGTTGGGGGCGGGGTGTGTGGCCTTATGACACACTTCCAGTGATGTCAGGGGGTGTGGCCTTATGACCCACTTCTGGTGATGTCAGGGGGTGTGGCATATGCTAATGAGTTATGCTAATGAGTTCCCCTAGCACTTTTTCTACGAAACGACCCCTGCCTGAGGCTACATTGGTCACCCTGGTGCCACAGAAAAAGTAAAACCTGGTCTCCTGGGAAGGCAGTTTTCAAGTATAACTCTGTGCACTAACAGAGTGCCAACACGACAGCTGCCTGGCAAGGTTGTGATTTTTCTTCTACATTGATAACCTTTGCATGACTTTGGGCCTGGTATTCTCTCTCAGCCTGGCCTACCTCACAGGGTGGTTGTGTTTTTCTATCACGTGAGTGTTGCTGGTTTTAATTTTCATACTCCCACCTCGAGGCGGGCAATGAATGAAACAAACAAACAAATGTGAGGAATGAGGGTTGGTTTGTAAAGAAGAAAAAAAGGGGACATGAAGACATGTGAGAAGAAGAAGATGAACATGAGGAGAAGGAGTGGAGGAGGAGGAGGAAGGAGTGGAGGAGGAGGAAGAAGAAGAGGAGGAGGAAGAGATATATATCCCACCCTTTACTTGGAGTCTCAGAGCGGTTTACAATCTCCTCCCCTTCCTCTCCCCACAACAGACACCCTGTGAGGTAGGTGGGGCTGAGAGAGCTCTGACTGGGAACTGCTCTTGAGAGAACAGCTTTGAGAGAACTGTGACTGACCCAAGGTCACCCAGCTGGCTGCATGTGGAGGAGTGGGGAATCAAACCCGGTTCCCAGATTAACCACTACACCAAACTGGGAAATCCATTCCATTCCATTCCAATTGGTCCCACTTCTCCCCTACCATGTTCTTAGACTTCCTTCACCCCTCCTACCTGCCAGCTCACCTCTCCGCTCCCACACTTTCCAGTTTTGGACTGTCCCCCCCACACCTCAAGTTTTAAAAAAGTTTAAAACATCAAAACTGGATTTTTATGCTAACCTGTGATTGCAGTAGTGCCTGAACTGTAGCCAGAACTTGACCCATTTTGTGATTTTTTGATCTTCCAGGGGAGCCAGCCCAGGGCTATTAGACTTCAGGATAAAACTTTGTAATCCACCACCCCAATAAACAAAAGAAACAAGAACCCTTTTCTTTTGGCAACAGTGGAAGCCAGCAAGAGAAGAAAGCTCCAGAACACAAAATATTTATGTATATTACATACAAGTAAAACAAAATAAATTAGTGGAGGGAAATAAAATGGTGGAGAACAGTCAGGCTCTTACCTGATCTGGCACTGCAGGGGTCATTTGCATCTCTTCTCCAAAAAGAGTTGACCTTCTACATATTCCTGGTGTCATTCCACCACCTGTTAAGAGACACGAAAGTTGGGGGAGGGTTTTTCCCCCTCCCTCCATTTATACACACTTTTTAATGAACACTTTGTATTTCAGTTTGCCCTCCACAGAACAAAACAGGTAGCAAATCTGTGGGAGATCAGAGAAGCAGCTTCTTCACACATAATCAGCCTATGGAACTCACTGCCACAAGATGTAGTGACGGTCCCCCGGCACAGGCTTACTCTACACATCCGGAAGAACAAGGGGGGAAGAGTGCTGATGTAGCACTCAGCACTTTAGACTGAAGGGGAGAGATTATATTTTTCACAGTTCCCTTACGTTAATAATTCCCTTTAAGCAGATACCTAC